ACTTAGACTTACAACGCTACGTGAATGACTCAATTTCTATGCATCGCAACGCCAACCAGTTAGATCGTGTACCACTCGATGCTTATTTGTAACATGACAATGTGCACTCACCCAAACACATACACATACACACACACACACAGATATGTATTCACATAATGCGCGATTGCGTAATAAAAGTGCCATTCCGCTTGTATGAGCTGTCAGCGATTTGATTATGATACAAAGGAAAAAAAGGACATGGAAAGGAAGGCAGGCAGGAAGGAACTAGCTGATTCCTATAAAGCAAGAGTTTGTGCCCTTTCTCCTTCTCTTTGTTACTTTCTTTTTTTTTTTTTGAGGACATTTGTAAGATATTTTGCCTTTTCCACTTTTGAAACCATTTCCCCCACCACTTGTTAAATATTTTTTCCGCTTCTCTTACTCACCCAATAATAAAATGGTATTTTATATCCTATCTATAAAGATATTTTAGCATACTTTTGTGCGCTGAAAGGGTTTTATTGCCTACAATCAGGCACATTCACATGTCACACGCACATCACTACACATATGCACTCTCACATGCGGTGTAAAATTGAACCTGCCAGCATACTTTTGTTTAGAAAGTTATTTATGGGTTTATAATTTTTTGAAAAATATGCATTTTCTTCGTCTTCGTCTTCTTCTTCTTCTTCGTCTGCCACTTTATGTTCTTCGTATTTTTTCAACCTACTTTTTTGGCAACATTTTAAATTGAAGACGACATACGACGCACGGTCTACCGCGTGCTCATAGTGTGGGTGAAGACCGCTGGGTGGTGTGTAGGCTGCGACGTTGGCGGCAAGGAAATTCGATTGTTTTACATTTCATTTACGAAACATTAAATTTTCCAAATCTCTCCTTTTTGAAGCAGCACAGAAGTGGTCATAAAGCAAATTTTCTTTTGTTGCCTCGCATTGGCCTTCGTCTCCTTCGATATGCGTCCAAGTAAATAGTTATAGTTTTATAGTGTAATAAAAAAGTTTCTTCAAACTTTCGGTAAACATTTTATGGGCGAATATAATTGTAAAAGCTTTAAAAAAAAAGGAGTAATGGTTTGTGATAACGGAAATAAGCATAATTTCGAAAGTTTTGTTTATATGCAAACCCATAATTTTATAGTCAAACGAAGAATATTTTCTAGAGCATTGCACTCCAAATTAATAAAACAAAGTAAATTTATTTTTATTTTTATGTACACATATGTATGTATGTACATAATGTTATATAACTCAATATTCAATTTTATTTGATTTTTTAATAGAGCAAAAATAATCTCTTTTCCACAGCACGAAAATTGGTTCAAATAAATGAACGCCCCGCTTCTCATTGCTGTGGTTTGAGGTGATGCCCTTCGGTCTAGGTGACCACCCTTGCGGTCAAAACTAGTAACTCGTAAAGGGTTCAGGGTCCAACATCCAATAATTATAATAAAAAATTAAGTTTTCTAATTGTGCTGGCCACTCGGCATGCACTATCAAGCCCTCAGAATATGCAGGGTTCAGCTCACCAATAAGCTATGCTTTCAAAACCGCAACTATTTTACGAAATTTCCCCACACCAAATCGCATAGTGTCTGCGGTCGGCAAAAATCCTCAGATTGAACCCTCCCCGAGGGTACCCACCGGTAGTGGATGCTACATAACAAGCCCGTACGTTGTCGGGTAGGTTTCCAGCAGAGATCAGGTATCAGTGCTAAGTGCGTATGATTCTCAATAGCTATGCCATATAGTAATGGTTCTTGATCGTGGCCTTGGGGTGAAGCTAAATCAATGTGTTATGCGTTACCGTGTCGAGGATTAACCCGGCTGACTCACACGTAGTCACCAGCAACCAGGACGTACCAAGATGTACTCATGGCCTTGCCCAGGTAATGCGGATCTCTACTCGGGTGACCACATACCTTTTCCGCTGCTGATTGGATCATGAGTGATTCGAATAGCAAAAAATGTTAAGAAAGGAAAAAACAAAAAGAGACCGGCACTCCTCAGAAAAACCTGAAGAGCGACCAATGCGATGCAGAGTACTCCCTTAGATTGTCCAACGACAAAAGAAAGAATGGACTTTTCGATGTTAGTCACACCAGGATTTGAATTCTGACCTTTCGAATGCTAACCACTGCGCTAACGCGGCTGCCGAAATCAATACCATTCAATTCCAGCCACAAAAACCATTAATCATCGCTCGAGAGCACAATCCATTCACCTTAACTGTTGCTCCAGCCTCACTATCGACAAGGTAAGGTTCAATGACTCCGCTGGACTATACACCACACTAAACAGTTGCAGTTACACGTTGAGGATGTAGAGGCTTTTCAGCAATAAATCTTCGGTTTACCGAACACCATATAAGACAGCTTTGCTTATTCTGAATGTGGAAATGACGCTCCGTCGGCTAAAATGATCAATCAATAAAGACACGACGTTGTTGATGGTCGGTCGACTTGAGTTCTTGTCTTAACTGAACTTTATAAGCTTAAAGACCCAAGTGTTTATGCAAATTACGCTTAAAGACGTTTTTCTGGAATGCGCCATTCCAAGTATTGGCGAGTAATGGCCAAGTCGGGGTTTTCTCAAAACTTTTGGGTACAGCAGCAATATTCTCAGTTGCTCTTGAGAGACGTGCAAGTGTTTTATTCTGCACATCAGTAACTACATCCCAACAGTGCTATTTTTTCTGTCAATTTCTGTACTGCGGTCCGGCAAGGCGCTTCACCAAAACCGAAAAATGTTTTTGTTTTACGAAGCGTTTCCTGTGCTTTATAGTGAATTTTGATAACTTCGATTTGATAAACTGTAAAAAAAAAAACTGCAGAAAGCTTCAAATGTGGCATCTACCTGAAGAGTAGGCTATTCAAAAGAACATTGGAAATTGGAAGCACCTTCATGTCTTATTTTTATTACCCCAAAAGCTAGCTAAAAACCCACAACCTTTGTTAGCATTCTTAACTCAAAAAATAGTTGTCTTTGCTTTGCTCTTTCCAAGGGATATAGAAATGTGGGAATTTAAAAATTTTATAAGCTCAAAATTGCAACAAAGAAAAATACTATCGCTCAATTGTCACAGTTTTTAGCTGCCACGCAAAGCGCACAGACAGTGTAGGCCTGCAGCGATTCCAAAATATTTTTAAAATAGATTTCTACTGCAGCGAGGCAAATGACTTTAGAGAAGTGTCGTCGCATCACTTTCTAAATATAACCTCACTAATAATATATACATATATACATATAAACATATATACACATATATATATATATATATGCGCTATATTATTATGAGTACAGTAAATAGGTATTTACATATACGTATAAGCCCAGCAGGAAAAAATTACTTCTTTCAGTCACTCAACATTTTGTTATGCTCTTCTCATACAGGTTGCCACTGTAGTACAGGCTTAGCCGACTTTGATTATTATTTTTTACATAGTTTAAACAAGAAATAAATTCTTTTTAAAATTCATTTAAAAAATGTTTACCATCATGAAACAGTTTCATATGAGTTTCGAACTCAAAAAAGTTTTATTTCAAAGAATTGGCCAAACCACAAGTGTACAAAAGAAACTATACAAAAGCAAGCGCGAGGAGAATCTCAAGCTAATTTTTTATTTAAAATATATTTCGCACAAAACCAAATTGTTTTAACGCAAATTCTCACAATTAAGCGGTTGAATGGGTGAATTGACTCGGCTAAATCAAAAAAACCCGCTGGTACAATGGGGATTACAGTACTCCAATGGAGAGAAAACTTACTGCCTCTTTTGCAAGGTTCCGATCGACCATCAAAGCACTCAGCTTTGGCTAACAAGATGATTCTTAAAACGTAGTTGGAGTCTTCCTCTACCTCTTCCACTTCCTCTGCTTTCAAACTCTCTTTCAAAGACCTCCACTCCGTTGGCAAGACCAGGTAGAGAAGGACCTGACTGTACTTGGTATTTCCAATTGCAATCGCAGTGTGGTTAAATCGGCTAAAATCGCTTAAGCGGTGTCTACGCCAGTAAAGTGAGTAAGTAAATGAGCAACTATGGGTATTATAAGTACAATCTACCCGGAGCCCAATAATATTTTCGATACATTTTTACGCAATTTGTTTACACAAATTAATCATTTTGCTTAAAATAAAATATTTTCAAGTATTTTTTGTTTACAAAAAAACAAAAATAAAAAAATAGATAAAAAATCTATGTAATCTACTAATAATAATATATTAGCTAATGACGTACATATGTACATATACTACTCATAGGGAAATACATGATGTGGATGTACCGCCCAAAACCCAGAGAGAGACATTAGCAAATGAACTGAAAATTGTGTCACAAAATAAAAATATTCCCGTAAAATAGTATTATATATATATATAATATGTGTACATTATATATTTGAATATTCACACCTATTTCAATTGATATGTATGCATGTATGTACATACATATTTTTTGACAGTGTAATCAGTATAATGCAAACAGCTGTAGATTTTCTGTCACATCCGGCGAAGCGAGGCGTATGGCGAGTGGGTGTTAACAGAAAAATACGTGTTCAATACAATAGAAGTACATATGTATGTATGTGTGTGCATATATTAATATGGAGCGTAAATAAGTGAGAGATCCAGAGTGAATTACGTATATACATACATTCAAAACTTTTGTATTTCTAAATGCATATAAATATATATTCGTATGTACATATTACAGTATATACAAAAAGCGCATAATAGATAAATAAATGTTCAAAAGCTAAAAAAATTTAAATAAAAATAAAAATAAAAAGAAAAAATGAAGAAAAATAAAGAAAAGTGAAGAAATATTAAGAAAAGCCAGCTGCCTGGCCATTAATTTATTAATCTATTTTTTTTTTTTGTTTGTATCTTTTTTGTTTTCTCTCTCTTTATTTCTTCTTCTTCTTCTTACAAAATCGCAATTTAGTTAAAATTATATATGTATTTGTGTATGGTATATAAATATATTATATAAAAATCAGTGAAAATGAAATCCAGTTCATGCAATACAAAAACCAAAAAGTACAAAAAAGATTTCGAGATATTTTCCAAAAGTCGACATCAAAAACAAAATTTTCTCCGCTCTTACACATACTAAGCAAAAATATTAAGCACAAATTTGACTGTTAATCTTAAATTCACCATTTGACTTATACTAAAATTTCTCTCTTCTTTATAAATCTCCTTTTTTTTCTTTTGTTTTCTAATTAGTTTAAGCAAAAGATTTTGCTTTGCACGCTCTTTTCGGCTGTACGCCCACTGCTGCTGTCATTTGCGACTTCATCTAATCGCCGAAAAGTTTCTTGCCCAAGTCCATCATACGGTGATTGCGACAGACACGCAGCGCGTCGGCTTTCTTCAATACCGCCACTACCGATGAGTTAACCTCGACCAATTGCGACAGGAAGTCCTCGTAGGCAGACTTAACGTTGGGTGGTAGCGTGCCGATTTTGACCTTCTTCAGTGTTTGTACAATGCCCTCAGCCCAACCCGATTCGATGGCGAACTCTGATAGCCAAGGCACCAATGCGAGCACACCGCTAATCGTCTGCATGCCAAGGAACCATAACTCCGAAATTTCCATCCAATGCTCTTTGTAGGCTATGGACACCACCAAGGCGGTGGGATCATTGGATTCGTCAATGTTGTAGGCATCCCATAAGAAACGAATTGTCGCCTGTATGTAGCGACAGAAGGAGAAATCGTTTTGTTTGACGCGTTTCGATTGCTGTTTGAGCAGCAACAGGCCAAGCACTGCCAAGTGTCCGTGCATGACCAGATTATCGGGTGTATCCTTCAGTTCGGGCAGATTTTCAACAACAAATTTGAGCACGTTGGCAAAAAGTGGTGAGTCTTCAGCCAGTTTTGGTTCGAGTACAGTCAAGTTCATTAAAATATTGCAAAGGGAGACAATCGCGGCGCGTGCATCTTTCATTTCTTCCAGCTGTTTGGGTGTGGGCACGGGATCGGGTTCGTTCATGCGCTTAAGACGTTCAGCGCGTGGTATCGGTGGCCGTTTATAATGTGCAATAGTAAAGTAGAATTCAATTTGTTCCAATAAAATTTCATCTTGTTTGGTAGTAAAGAGCACTTTACGTGCGTCATCCTCTACTGCTAAATGGCAGAGCGCCGGTAGCATTACGCGCAATACATCAACTGGTGGCTCACCTTCGCGTGTGCCATTACGCCAAGCTTTCAGGTCATGGAATGACTCGTTGCCTACCTTGAACATGAACGGCAGGATTTTGTAGATGGCTGGACGCATAGCGGTCGTCTCTTGTGCCAACCAAGCGGAGAGTATACGCACAATAGCGCAGATGAAAGCTTTGTCACGTGGACTGCCATTATCCTTGATCTTGTCCTGTGAGACGCGTGTCAATACGGCCAGTACCTGATTGAAGGCACCCTTTAGAGCAGTGTAAGTGGTTTGCTTTTCTTTGGGTTCCAAATCTAACTGATCGGTGGCCATGTACTCGATGCAAAGCTCAAGTATAACGAAACAGCAGGTGATGAGTTCAGCGCGCTTAAAGGTAGTCTCCAATTTTTTCTCATCCATTTGCATGCGCACCTCAATGGCAGCCAATTGTAGTATGGATAGGAAGAGTTGTTTTTGATCATCCATAAAAGCCCATTGTATGCCGAGCACTTGCAATGTGGTCGCAATCAACTGTAAAGCCGGCTCACGCTGTTTTGGTCCGATTTTTGCCTTCAAAATATCGCCGATGGCCTTGAAAATACTCTCGGGCCATATTTCGCCCTCCAGTGAGTTTACGATGACATCACGACGACAGGTGATCAATATGGATGAGAGTATACCGCAAAGTTCGTATTTACGCTCACTATTTTCTGTCTCCATATCCAACGCGATGCGCTGCACGAGCGCGTGGAACGGCTTCGGATCATCAGACCAGGATGCGTTCCCGAATTTAGTCACCAACAATACAATCAAATGTAATGCCTCATCAGTTTGGAAACTCTGCGCCGAATAGATCTGTGACATTTTAGGTATGGCGCCGATGGAGAGTAGTGCCTGCTGGCCCGGCTCATAGGTGGCGATGCTCTTAAGGCAACTGTATGACTCGCTAACTACAATAAGATTGTCTTCATAATCATCATCATCGGCGGTCTCGACAATCTCCAGCAATGTGGGTATGGCATCGATCATATCCTTGTGTGTGGCCAGTTCCTCTTCTTGACAGAAACAGGTCAGTATCGATAGGGCAACACTCTTGTAGACCAGTGGTGGGCAATCATCGGGCAAATTCTTGCCGTTCAACAGTTTTTTGAGAAAATTAAAGCCAATTGCCTCGAAGAGCAATTTCTTAGCCGCAGCCTTACAGTCCTTACCCTTCACCAGCTTGGTTACCATAAAGAGTGCAGCAAACTTTTCGGTCTCACTTTTGGTGCCCTTCAACATGGCGGCGCATTTCTTTACAGCTTCCGGTATATCAGCCATTTTGGTATGCGCTTAATAACTAACTTTTTTTTATTCCTCAAACTTCTTTTGCGTAGCCACAAATTGTTATAGAGTTTTGCGTGTTCGCTGGTGTTTCTGCGCGTTTGTCGGTTGCTAGGCGTGTCCACTGCCTATTTCACATATGCGTTAGCTCGTCTTTTAATAAATTTTTTATGTATCTATCTATGTATATGTGTTTATGTATGAATATGTATTTATAGCGTCTATTTTCACTTTCACACACGATTTTCCCGTTAGTTGGGGGAAATTTTCTATTTTCCGTTGTTCCGTTTGTACCGGCGCACGCTCACCAACTGATTCGTCTTTGGCATTTAGCAACCGGTAAGCTGCCTGATCGAAGCGATCTTCGGCTCAACCGCTAAACACGCCCGCCTGCCTGCCTGCCTTCGTCGTGGCCAACTTGACGACGCGGTGCTGTCGTGTAAACATTTGTCCCGGCTGATCGCAGCTGCTGCGTAGACACTTCCTTCCATGGCGGTTCGGTGTGGCGTTGTTATTTATTTTCTAAATTGTTGTTGCATTGCGGCACCAGCTGCCTACGGATTGTTTATATGCGAGATGTATATACATATGTATATTAGTACTTACACATATTTATTTTTAACATACTTCGTATGTGTACATACATTCATACATATGTACAACGTACATACACGTGTAAGCTCACACTGAGTTGGTGTGTTTTCGGTTCTTGCAAGTGGAAAATAAATTTTCATTTTAAAATTCAAATTCAAATGCAAATCCTAAATGAATCGGGAAGAAGTTGTGCTCGTGTGCGGAGCACAGGCAATGGCATCATCGCCCCACAAAGGCTGAGAGAGCAGGCATATCAGCCAAACAGCTTTGGATCTCTAAATTTCAACAATTTTTCCTCTCTGCATGAGTCGATATTTATAATTACAAATTGTATTTCGGTTGTTTTATTTTTCTGATTCTGTTTTTCTATTTGCATTTTGGAATTTTTCGAATATTCATTATTCTATTTGTGCTAACGAGCTTAATGTGTATGTGTATGCCTGTGTGCTCACACATTTACACACATTTTACAATTTACATGCAATGTAACAGACGTTTGCTTTCTCCATGGAACTCATTGTTCTTTTATAGTATCAATTTCTTATGAAGAAAGGCCAAACTTTTGTTGTATCAATCAAAGCAGAAATAGTCGAAATTTGTTGAATTTATACAATAAATTTTAATTTTTTTTGTTTTATGAAAAAATAAAGGTTTATAAAACTAATAATTTTATTATCATTTTTACTTTAAATTAATTAACAAAACAACGATAAATACAAAAAAAAAACAGAAAAATTGTTTTGAAGCTTTTCAAGCTCAAATTCTTCTACAATTTTAATAAATTTATGCCTCTTTGAGTTCGGGTGTTTCTCTTAGATATGGCCTTATAACACGAAATGAAATGCATAAGTGTTTGTTATTGCTTTAAAAATATTTCCGACTAAATTCCTGCCGAGGTGCCCAACAATTCTTGCAGCAATTCACGCCGTGATCAGCAATAACAAACCCAATATTCGCTTCCAAGGCGTCAATCGACTCGTGACTTCACATAACCTCACAAAAAACCATCCAGCGGCGTTAAATCGCTTGATCCTGAAGGCCATGCCAAAGGCGCACGACGTAAGGCAATGAGTTCATCAAGAGTTTCTTTCGAAAAAAAGGAGTATTTCTTTTGTTGTATGGCATGTAGCGCCGTTTCATTGGAACCACAGCTCCTCCAGATCAACATACAATGCTCTATAGCCTTATAGCGCTCCCCATTGACTGTAACATTATTGCCGGCTTAATTTTTTAAAACCCTACGGAGCCTCTGCCCATAGAACACATCAAACAGTAAACATTTGAGATTGTTAGGACGTCTCAAAAGTCTAACAGCTGTGCAGCGCAGGCTTGGAATAAATTATAGGAATGAATTATAGGTTGGAACGACCCCAAGATACGCACTAGATTTATCATAATTCGAAGATTTTTATGAGGAAATGGTTTTATACCACAACGAGAGAAGGTCAGTGCATATTGCAAAGTCTGTTCAAACGCGTTTACTATAATTTTTCATATAATATATATATATATATTATATAAAAGATTTCCTACAAAAATCTAACTCTTGATTGACCTCTTCAGGGAAAAGTGCCCCATTAAGTTTTTCAGTTTTTGACATTTCTAATTAAAAGTCAACCGAATTTGAAAAAAGAAATGTTGGAGTACTCGAATTCGTTATTCCACGACTCGGCTACAGCGAGAAATGTGGTTACATTAAGTGTTACCTTCTACCTTGCAAAAAAGAAAAAACATTTCAACCTTTTTTTATTTTGTACTTAAAGAAAATTCAAAAAAAAAAAACATTTCCAAGTAAATTAAATTTTGAGACAAAATTTTTACAAAAATATTACCATTTCGATTTTTTCTTTTGTACCGCCGGCTTGGAAGAAAGCTTCGTATCTACTGTACATAGAATGTGCTAAGTTTATGAATATGTTTTTTGGATGTGAATTAAAAGTGCGATTCCCTTCTTAAGTTTTATCCAGAGGTGATCTAGGGTTTTTTAGTACTGATAATTAAGGCGCCATTCTATAACTAGCAGTCTTTACTTCGTAAAACACCGCCATAACAGTTGTATATTTAGAGTCACTATTCTGTATAAGCTCCCATCGCAATGGCCTTCCCTCTATTTTATAGGAAAGCATTATCGTGTGCAAGATGCTAAAATGTTGAACTGCGCATGTTTTGCTCTTTATTCAAAATACTTGACCAGCGCCTTCCGTCAAAACTCAGTCATGTGACATAATAGAACCCACGCTGTGGAAGTGTCGTCTTTCCCATTGATTTCCATCTGATCCAAGCATATTCCTCTTTGTTTCATTAACCACAACAAAGTTTTCTAAGTTCACCTTTTGGTGAAACTAAATTTTTTTTGATTATCAAAGAGAGAGTACATTTCAACATTTTATGGCTTGTACCAAAAGGCTCGGCTCAGTGAATTTAAATTAACGAGAGAATCTTATCGTGAGCGTAGAACCTTGCATCGTGGGCCTGTGGTTTGACCTTGAAGATCGTAGTATTTAAAACTTCTGAACCGTATTTTTTGGGGGTTATGTAAAGGATAAACACCTAACGATTGACGCCTTGGAAAAAATATTCGGCGCGTTGTTGCTGACATGCGACTCCAGTTGTTGCAAAGGGTGGTCGAATATTGAGCCTCGCAACTGGTGTATTTCTGGCATATATTGGATGAGTGCATAAGTTCGTGCCCGATTTCAAGTGCAAACTAAAATTGAAATTTTTTGAAGGAAGCGCTTTTATTAATCAATTATGTATTCGCCATCATGTTCGGCAATCCACTCCCAACATTCAACCAATTTACAGTTCGGACTGGCACCTTTCTAACGATATATTGTATAATATGTATATATTTCTTTCACGAGCGCCACTCTCAAACGGCTCGAACGGCATCCAGCGGAATCGGGCACTAACTTATACACTCATCCAATAAAATAGAAAGCCCTTCAAAAAAATTTATCAACAGCTTAGAGGCGGCTCAGAATACACATTAGGCACACTCAATTTGTGGTTTGTGTCTTGACTTTTTTTCCACAAATGAAGGGACCCACAGTTTATTCTGAGCCTCCTCTGAATCGCCGACGGAAATTCGTGTGGAGTTTTTATTTCAAAGGAGTTCTGCCGAAAATCGCTTTAGAGGTCACAAAATGCCTGTTATAATAGATTTATGTATGTGTGAAGAAAATGTAAATTTCAAAATATCACAAATGGTTTTAATTTAAATATTTATTTAAAATTAATTTATGGTATGCTATTGAACTCATTTCTTAAGGTCGCACCACCCACTGCTAACGGTGCATTAAATTTATGCAAATTAAACTTTTGAAATATATGTATGCATGTATAGAGCTACATTTGTGCATACATACATACATACAAAGTACATTTGCATTTTCATTATCATTCGTGTGTTCATATATTCAAATGTTCATTAAAAAATAATAAAAAAAAGAGTATATTTCCTCCTTCAGCAAAAAAAATGGAATAAAAATAAAAATTTATGTTATTTATTTATGTACACATATTTACTTAATTCTCAAGGATATCGCAAATATGTAGAAAAATATTGGCATTGAACTTGAATGTCATGAAATTATTTATTTTCAAAATATTTAAATTTTCCTTCTCTTTTTTGTATGTAGGCAAAGAGTTTGATTTAGTTGAGGAATATATGCTCATACATATTTTTGTTTTTGTTTTTTTTTTTTCCAGCTACTTTTGTGTATTCGTTTGTCTATACAAATGTACTCGGTATACATACATATTCGTAAAAAAAAATCAAATAAGCAAGACGCAATTAAAAGTATATAAATATATTTACATAGATATGTTTGTACATATGAAAACTTTGTTCTATGTGAAATACGTGTTTTAATTAGTTTATGCAAAACTATTTTGAAAAAAATGTGTAGCAAAACTTTCTATTAGTCGGCACTGTGAGCAATTTCCTTGTAATAACAGTTAACACTGCGTATGATACCGTTAAATACAATAGAAAGTTTTAGAACAAGCGAAAGTGAAATCATTAGTGTTGTATGAAGTTTTTTGTTTTTTTTTTTTCATTACAAAATTTTAGTTTTTTGAGCTCGTGATATAATGTAAATGCATATATACATACTCTATATATATATATATATATATTTATATATGTATACATACTATATATACACTATACACTATACTATACATATGCTATATATATATGACATACATACATATATTTACATATATAGATAAGCGAGCCAGCAAAATAAAACAAAAATATTGATCAAGTAAAAAGTCATCCATTATTTTTGGATTATATGAAAGACTTTATTTCCCATAATTAGAATTATCCCATTTCTGTCAAATATGCACCATTTGACTCGCTATCCTTTTGTCATTATGCCTTTTTCACACAAACACTTGTACCCATTGGCAAAAAATTTGGACAATCGTTTTTCATAGGTTTCTCTGGATGCCGATTTTCCCCAAGCAAAATCATTCGCCATAGCCAAGAACAGATGGCAATCACTTGGTGCGCTATCCGGATTATAATGTGGATTTATAAGAGCCTCTCAACCAGGCTCTAGGAGCTACTGTTGAGTTACTATCGCTGCGTGTGCTTTGGCGTTCTCCTGATTAAACACAATTTTACTCTGGACGCTTCTGGGAGATTGCTTCCTTCGGACGATGCAATTTCTGTTAGTACCAATTGGAATTAAGGGTTTGGTGTTAAAGGAGACTCTTGTAGTACAT